CACGACTCTACAGGGGGGTCTTCTGGGGGGCGCGGCCGGTCACGGGCGTCGTCGCGGATCCCAAGGAGGCGGGCTCGGTGAGGTTCGAAGCAGGCCGCCCGGCTCGAGCGGGGGGCGCCTGGGGCCCGCCCCGGCGGCCGCGCGCGGTGCCGCGCGCGGCGCTGCCGCGGCAGCGCGCGCCTCGCGCGGCGCGCCCCGCTCGGAGCCCGCTCGGGGCCGCCCGCCGGGTCCGCTGCGCAGGTGAGGGGCCAGAGATCCGACACTGCAGCAAAGCTCGGAGCGGGCGACTCTTGGTTGTTCTCGGCCTCTGGGGGCCCTCGCCAGGCCCCCAGTGGACCGTCAAGAAAGGATCCGCTATCGGGGGCCTATCGCCTATCGCCGATCTGTCGGCGAAGTATCGCCGTTTCCATCTCGGTGCCGCTCCCCATGGTCCAGGCCCCCCAGATCTTTGCCCCTTCAGGCTCTAGCTCCACATCATGCAGCTAGCACCAGGATCAGGAGCGACGCCACCTTTGGAGAGGGGTGCCATTGTGTTTCTTGTGTGTTGGGTTTTCCAGGTCTGAGGGGAGCGACGAAGGAAAACGGGTCCGTCTTCATCGACGCTTGCGCGTAAGCTGCCCGCGCAGGGTCCCGCGCAAGCGCGCTCGTTCCCCGACGTGGTGTGCCGCGCTGGTGGCCCGCGCACGCCGCGGCGCAAGGTCGCCATGCCATCCCGCGCAAGGCTCGCTTATTTTTGTCGCTCAGGTGGCCGCTTTCCCCCCCCCACCACTCAGGAGGGAACAAAAACACAGGCACAATTCATCATCGACTCCCAGGAAAATATGGGAAAATATGGGACGTGGGGAGAAGACAACAACCCAGAACATATAGGAAACGATAGGGAACCCTGTTGTTTGTGTCTATTCATCTGTGCGTCCCAGGGCCCCTCACCACCACTTCTCCGGGCGCCCTGCGCCCCCCCCCCCGTCCGCTCTTCTCGGGCCGTGCCTCAATCTGCTGCGCAGGGGCCCCCCGTGCTGCCCGACCCGACCCGTGCGCGCCGTTTGGCCCGCGGCGCGGGACGAGATGCTCGGGCCCTCCGCCCAGAGGGATGCGCGGCCACGCGCAGAGGGTGCGGGGGGTCAGACGGGGTAAGAAGGGAAGGCTTCTCAGGAGGAGGCTGCCCTTCTCTAAGAGGCGCGGGCCCCATCCAGAAAGGTAAGGCTGGCGCCTTCCAAGAATCGAGTAGGGCATCGGCTACAGAATTGATTTGCCCCAGAACTGTTTTTTTCCAGTCGAATTCACGGGCAATTCGTAGCTCTTTCTCAGATCTACGCGTGGTTGACGTATTTTTGTTGAAGAGTCGACGTGGAAATCAATTCTGGGGTAAACCAATTCTCTGTAGTCGATCCCCCAGTCGAAAGAAGCAGCCTCCTTCTAAGAAAACTCCCCCCCCCCCTCCCCCCCCGCCAAGCGTGGCCTTTGTTTTTGGGGCGCCTCCGTGGGGCCGTGGGGGGTGCCTGTCGCTCCCCCCTTGGGAGTGGAGGGGGGGGGAAGGGGGAGAGCGTCCGAGGCGGGGGCTTACCGAGAACCACCGCCCCAGGGATCGATCTTCGGGGACCTCAGCAGGCGGTGGATGTGGATGCATGTCAAGTGAGGGATCGACTACAGAATTGATGTACCCCAACATTGTTTTTTGTCCGTCGACTCTGCGAACAATTCTTGTCATGTTTGTAGATCTGCGAACAAACTACTCGTTTGTGTTGTAGCTTCGCCGCGAAGCTTCTTATACGTATCAAGTTTGGGGTACATCAATGTTGTAGTCGATCCCCTACTCGAGTATTGGGGCCGACGGGGCCAACATATACCCGCATGCGCAGCCCGCTGGAGTCCCAGGACGTCGGTTCCACAGGCGGTGGATGTGGATGTATCCTCGCCTTGCAGAGAGGATCAGGCAGGTCCAGGACGAGGATCCCGGGCCGCTGTGCAGAGCGCTCCCGTGGGCGTTCCAAGTAGGTAGCGTTTCAGGAGGGACAGAAACACACGGACACGATTAGTCGTCGATTCCCCAGAAAAATATGGGAAACTATGGGAAGTGGGGGGAAGACGAAAACCCAGAAAATATGCGAACATATGGGGAATCCTGTTATTTGTGTCTATTTATTTGTGTGACCCTGGACCCCCTCAACGTTGCCAGAATCTAAGTCTGCAGAGCAACGGCCTCGTAACAACACATCCTCCATGCACCGCCCGGCCCTCGGAGGTTCCGATCGGGAATCCCTGGTGGTAAGATCAGCGAGAATTCTTTGATGGGGGATAAACGCTCAGAATCCTCTCAGAGGCTCCCGACAAGAGCAAGTCAAGATGCGGGTGAATCAAGAGGCAGCGGCAGTGTAGGAGTGGGCCCGCCCCACGATCCTTGGAAGAAAGCTGCACCGTTCATTTTGCGAGATGAGCAGGGCCGATCGTCGGTCGAAGAGAAGACAGTGCCCGAGGAGGACGGATGTGGACTCGCACACTGAAGCGAGAGTCCCCCAGGCTCAGGAGGGGTTCTGGTCTTCGGTCCGCTCCTCGTGCTCGGGTCGGGGGGAGCCACTCGTGGCCGAGACTCGCCGCGGCCAGAAACGCCCCCCTCGGCTCTTCAGTCAGAGGATAAACGTAGTCCACGGGTGAGGCCCCTTGCCTCTCGGGGGCCGTAGGAGGGGCCTCGTGGGGACCGTTTGAGGGGCCAATGCTAAGTCGGGCGTGTCCCTCTACAGGAGGAATATTCGAACAGACAGTCAGGGGACGATTGTCCTCGTATGTTTGACTATTCTGAGCATTTTTTCTGACTATGTTTTATTTTGTCCTCCACAATCCGCGTGTAGGGGGACATGCCCGACCTATGGCCAGTGGGGGCATCTTCTGGGCTCCTTGGGGGCCTCTTGGGAGCCTCTTGGGGTTCTGTTGAGCGCCTGCTGACGGCCTCGGGGGTCCTCTTGGTGCGGAGGGCTCGAAATTGCTGTTCCCGTTCCCCCTCTTGGGCCCCTTTTGCCAGGCGATCGCAAACATGGATCAGCGGGGCGTGGATTCGCGGCGGGTCCCGTTTCCATAGGAAATCGCGGATCGCCGTCGCCGAACGAGGCGGCACAGGCCGCATTTTGGGGAGGGCGCCTCCCCCGATCCATGTTCGCGTGCCCCTGATCTTGAGGCTCTTTTGGGGCTCACTTGTGCCCTCTTGTGTGCCTCTTGGGCCGTTCTGGGGCTCCCTTTGGCCGTCCTTGTGGCCCAAGGGCCTCTTGGGCCGTCCTGGAGCGATCTTGGGGGCTCCTTGGGCCGCTTTGGACGCCGTCGAAACCAACAGGGTGGATGTGCTAAAAATGTAGGTTATCCTCTTAATATCATTTGGAGCGGTTTTGGCCTCTTGGTTCTCTCTTTGGGATCCTCTTGGAGCTGTCTGGGGGTGTCTTGGAGGCTTCGTGGGCCGTATTGAGGCTATCTTGGTTGTTTTTGAGGCCTCCTTGGCGTGTGGGAGCCCAGGTTGAGCAAGCTTGAATGAAATCGTGGGCATCTTGGCGGCCACGAAGTGTAGACATGAAGGTTCCGGAGGCCCCAGGGGAGCATTGATGAGCCCAGGGAGACTCCCCCCCCCGGGCCCTCCCTCCAGCCCCCCCCCGCGCAGGCCCTACCCCCTGCCTGCCCCCTCTAATCGGATTTCAGGCTCCATGGAAGATGGAAAGGGGGAGGGGGACAGCCAATCCTCTCACACGCCTTTGCACTCCCGGGAAGCGGGGGTCGGCGGATTCCCAGACCAGATTTTTCCAATCCGCGGTCTCAGAGCTCCCGACCCTTTCCCCCGGGTGGTTTTTCGTCTTGGGTTTGTTCTTGCTGATCCTGCTGGCCAGACTGAAGACAGCATCTTCTCGGAGATTTGAGTTTGCCGTTCCTAACGGTAGCAAGATTAATGATTTACGATATGTTCGTGTCGTGTCGACGTGGCGCCGATTGCAGCGCGGGCGGTCAAGGCTGAACGCCGCTAGTGGCCCAGAATCGGCCAACGATCGAGAAGCTGCCGATCGAAAAGCCGCGATATCCACAGTGTTAGAAACCAATGCCGTAGTCGACACGAAACGAACCCGCCGTAGCTGTTTGATTCCTGTCGCTTCGCGTGGTGCGCGTCCGAAACACGTGCAGTCCAGTCGCTGCGGCGCCTTGAGGGAGCCTCTTTGGGGCCTCTTCGAGGCCTCTCGGAGGCTTCTTGGGGCCACTTTAGGGCTTCTTCGGGCCCTCTTGGGGTCTTTAGGGGTCGTCTTGGGTACTCTTGCGTCGTTTGGCCCCTTCGGAGGCCATCCCATGGGCCTCTCGCGGCTGCCGTGGGGTTCTTTTGGGGTCCTTTTGGGCCGTTTTGGGTGCCTCTTTGATCGTCTTGGGGGCCCCTTTGGGCCGTCTTGGGGCCCTGTTGGGTCCTCTTGGGGTCCTCGTGGGGGCCTCTGGGGTCGTCTTGGGGCTATTCTGTAGGCTGCTTGGGCTCATGGCCCATGACAAACCCATGACAAAAAAAGTTGCTGGCCTCTGGCAGCGCTCTTGGCGGCCCGTACTGAGGCCATCTTGAGCCGTCTTGACGCCCAGGAGGCCCAAAGGGCCCAAATCATTGATTTGCTATCTGTTTTTGTTTTCAGGCCCTGAAGGAAGCCAGGCCGGCCGGCCTCGGGTTGGGGGGCGGCAGGGGGGGTTATGTACTCAGATGAAGACATCACACTATGTAGACCCCTTGAACGAGTCGGGGATCCCATATTGGGGTCATCCTGGCCGTCCTCTGTTGGCAATGTTGGGGTGTATGTTTGACCGAATGGGAAGACGAGGGGGTGGATGAGGGTTCAGTCATTTGACCCTTGGTCGAATGCGGTAGGCGGTAGGCGGTAGGCGGTAGGCGGGAGAAGGAGGAGGAGGAGGAAGAGGAGCAGGAGCAGGAGGAGGAGGAGCAGGAGGAGCAGGAGGAGGAGGAGGAGGAGGAGGAGGAGGAGGAGGAGGAGGAAACAACGAAGCCGCCGCAGCTGCTCGACTCCTGGGGGCAGGGTGGCCCGGCGGGAGCCGCCCGAGAGCGCGCCCCTCGAGGCACAGGCGGCCGCCTCCGCCCCGCGCCCGAGGAGGCGTGGCCTCCGTGCGCTCTGGCCGCTGGGTGCGCCGAGCGTCCCGCAGGGCGCCATGGCCTCGCCGGCGTCGGCGTCGGCCACGGCGGCGTCGCGGGCGAGAGGGGGCGGGGGGCAGAAGCCGCCGCCGCCAAGAGTCAGCCACGCGCAGAGGGGGGTTCTAAGAACTTAGAACATTTCTGGCCGGGACTGTCCTGGTTTAGCAAGTGGGGGTATGTTCTAAGAACATTGTTTTGATTCTCAGAACATGTCTGGGTTCTAAGAACATGTCGTGGTAGGCCTATAGGAATGGCGGGACGGTCGGTCCCTGCTCAAAGGGGGCGGGGGCAGAAGCCGCCGCCGCCGCCGCCAAGAGTCAGCCACGGGCAGAGGGGGGGCAGGTGGGAGGGGGAAGGGCTTCGCAGGAGGCGGCTTCGTAGCCCCGTCGACACATGCAGTTGAAGGCTCGCGCCTGCTAGGAAGCAGCCTCCTTCTCAAAGAAGCCTTCCCCTCTCCCCTGCCCCCTTGCTTGCACCGCCAAAAGAAGGCTTGGAGCTTCAGGAGAGGATTATACGTCCATAGTTACAGAGTATGTCCATTTTAAGTGCTCGGTCTCCGTCTGGGCTTATTCTGCCTGGACTTAGCCTCTCCGGATGGGAGGTTGAGTACATGCGGAGTAAATCCCTGCGGAGATCTCGGTCTCCGTCTGGGCCTTGAGACGGGGGTCGATGCAAACAGGGGTCAGCCAGAGTCTGCAGAGTTAGGGCTGCACTGACCCGGGTCAACGCGCAGGATGCTGCAGGATCCTGCGAAGCCCGATCGACCCGGGTTTGCATTGACCCATGTCAGTAGATCCCCGAAGAAGCCGCCGCCGCCGTCAAGAGTACCTTCAGATCCCGGCGCTGCACCGCTTTCACACTGGGCGGCTTCGCCGGGTCTTGGTCCTCAGGCACCCCTCAGACGGACCCGCCTCGAACACTGCACCAGAGAGATGGGGTGCAGGGCTCTGGTCGTGCTTGTTTCGCGACGTTCAAATTCCTTCGCCACGTGGGGTCTCAGGGTGCATCATCCGCAGAAGTGGCGAGCCTTGGGCCCGATCTCTCTCGAGCCAGATCGATCCGTGAGACTCTCGGGCCCCGAGTCTGGGCGAGAGCGCCCAGAGTCTCCAGCGCGATGGCGGGGGGGCAGGCCCCGCCGCCTCGCGGCGTCAATGAGTCCCGGCCTCCCAGATGCATCGGCTACGCGTACCGTCGGACCGAGATGTAAGATGAAGTCGGGCCTGTCCCTCTACAGGAGGAATATTCAAAAACAGTCAAAAGTCTGGGGACGATTTTTGAGCATTTTTTAAACAACTTTTGTGCATATGTTTGACTATCTTTTGATTGTTCGCCCAAAATCCGCCTGTAGGAGGACATGTAAGACCTCAGTATAAGACCGATGTCGATTTGGGGAGGGAGCTGTGATGTTCTTCGTGTTTGTTGGACGTTCTTGTGCGTCCTGGGAAGGGTGCCCTCTGATGTTCTGCGTGCTTTGGCCGGCGGAGGGTTTCATGTTCTGGAATGATGTTCTTATGGCTTAGGTCCGATTGTAAGAGTGACCTTTCGCCGGAGTGACCTTTGGTGCGGGCCCAAACGGGCCCCCTCGATCGCTGAATGGGATGCGATAGCAGCGGCCTGCGCGCTTGGTGGTGTCCCCAGAGGTCCCCCCTTGGGCCGCGCACCAAAGGTCACTCTTGCCTCGGGTCACTCGTGCGTATAGCGTAGCCGGAAGGGGGACGAATGATCAAAAGACCGGTACGCCGCTGGTGGGAGCGCGTCAGCGTGTCGCTCGTTCGCCTTCGCCTGGAGATGCGCTGCTTCTCTGCAGCAGTGACGCGCTGATGAGTTCCCCACGGCTGCGTGCCGTGTGGCCAGGGCACACGGGTCGAGTATGGCCAGGACCCCAGGTAAGGGGACCCGGTTAGTAGTAGGCCCCGGGAGCCCCTAAATTGGCCAGAATTGGTAAACCAGGTCTGCCGTAGCTGGTGTTTTTTCGGGTGGCCGCAGTTCCAGTTCGTGGAACGGGGCGGGGGGGCGTCCCCAGTACACATCATTAGAGCAGGTTCCATTAAACCCAGCTCTGCCAACGCCCGAATGGGATCGGAGGACCGCACCGCATCGCCGATGTATCGGCGGTGCGATGCGATTTGGAGCCCGATTTGCTCCATCCCGCCTTCGCCGAATCGCCGATGGGGCGCGATCTTCCGACCCCACCTGCTCCGACCCCGTCTGCTCCGACGCCATGTGGAAAAGCCTCCACCGTCGAGGATCGAGGATCTTGAAAGGATGGCGGCGAGTGCCTCCCGGTGCTGTGTGCTCGAGTTCGCTGGAGGTCTAAAGAGGCCAGGGCCCCCACAGGTCCAGACCTGCGACGCCTCGAACAACACAGGACGACTGGTTTTCCCAGCTCTCGGATTCCTGGGGACCTGCCAGGGCCCCAGGGCCATCAGACGTCGAGCAGGGTGCAAAGCCAGGCCCCAGAGCAACAGTGTCGGAACTTCTGTGGACCGCGTATTCATCAAGAGAAGCCAATCGGAGGTCATGACCTCCGCCCCTTTCTCATCGTCGCCACGGCGTTTCGCAGCTCGCGCAACCGGCGAGGGCGGACCCCAGGAGGGGTCAGGGTATCGATCTTGAGCGGCTTTCGGCCGTCGCCGTCCGCTGTCGCCGCCGCCGTCGCTCTAGAGTCTATGATGGGGGGTCGAGGATCAAGGGTAGCAGGTATCGGCGTTTCTGGAAGTTTGTTGTTTTCTATTATTATTCTCCCGGAAGCATCCAGGACCGCAGGAGACCTCGGATCCCCAGTGTCAGCGTCGTCGTCGTTGTCGTCTCAGAGGTTCTGGGAGCCAGGATGAGGGGGAGGCGGAGTAGGAGTAGGAGTAGGAGTAGGAGGAGGAGGAGGACAAGTGTAAACCCAAGACGCATCAATGATGTTGCAATACATCATCCCTCTAAGGTCCGTCTTCATCATTCGGTCCCCACAAGAATTTTGTTTTCATTGGTGGAGGTGCCCCATTGAAAGACAACCTTCTGATAATCTTGATTCGTGCCAGAAAACAATTCCCTGGGTTCGAAACCGCGAATTCATGTAACCGTTGCGTCCTGACATTCCTAAGTCTTCCAGACACACCATTTGAAGACAATTTCTGGGACTCTAGCCCTACGAATCCTTGAGACTGCCACGCAGCTATAAGACGAGTGTGCGCGTGTTGAGGCGAGAGCCACATATTATACAGACATGCCCTTCATCTTGGAAGCTATGTTTAAGACGAATGTGCTATTCGCTGAGGTGAGGGCCACAGTTTGAAGAGGCACCGCCCTCCATCCTTGAAGCTGTTGCAAACTTTGAAGATGAAGGTATGCGGCGCTACGGCGAGAGCCACATTTTGAAAACGAACTACCGTCCATCCGTGAATGCATTACAACTGTCAAGCTTCAGAATCCCAAACGCCGAGCAAGTCTCAGGCGAAACGCCTGGCCCGCCCTACACGTCTGGGGTTGCGACATGAAAGAGTTACTTTCACACATCGGGATGGAGAATGAGGAGGACAATCAGATGGGGGATGATGATGATGATGATGATGATGATGATGATGATGATGATGATGATGATGATGATGATGATGATGATGATGATGCTGATGATGATGATGATGATGATGATGATAAGGATTATGATGATGATGATGATGATGATGATGATGATGATGATGATGATGATGGTGATGATGCTGATACTGATGCTGATGATGATGATGCTGACGATGATGTTGATGACGCTTATGATGACGCTGATTGTGATGATGATGATGCTGCTGATGCTGATGCTGATGCTGCTGATGATGATGATGATGATGATGATGATGATGATGATGATGTTGTTGTTGATGATGATGGTGATGCTGATGATGATGATGATGATGATGATGAGGAGGAGGAGGAGGAGGAGGAGGAGGATGAGGAGGAGGCGGAGGAGCAGGAGGTGGAGGAGGAGGAGGAGGACCAGTGGAAACCCAAGAGTCATCAACGATGTTGGAATTAACCATCCTTCCAAGCTCCCTCTTCATAGGCCCCTACAACGATTCATTTCCATTGGGGGAACTGTCTCGCTGGAAGACAGCATTTTGAAGATCGGGAAGCGTGCCAAAACATTGTTCTCGGGATTTCAACGCCACGTATCAACCTGACTGCTGCGTCTTCACGATCCAGAACCGTGCCAGCACGCTATTTTTGGGATTTCAAGACAGCGAATCAACAATTGTTGCGCCCGCATAGTCCTGAATCCTTATACAGCACAGTGTCTGGTGCGTCGTTCATGGGAATCCTTGAAACTCATGCATTTTTCATTTTGGTATAGGAGCCGCCCTCAATCCGTGAAAGTCTTGCGAATGTTTAAGACGAATGTGCGCGGCGCTGAGGCGAGAGCCACATTTTGAAAATCACCCGCCCTCAATCCGTGAAGCTGCTGCAATTTTTGAAGACGAATGTGCGCTGCGCTAAGGCGAGAGCCACATTTTGAAAACAACACGCCCTCAATCCGTGAAAGTCTTGCGAATGTTTAAGACGATGTGCGCGGCGCTGAGGCGAGAGCCACACTTTGAAAACCACCCGCCCTCTATCCGTGAAGCTGTTGCAATTTTTGTAAGACGAAGGTGCGTGGCGCTAGGGCGAGAGCCACATTTTGAAAACAACCCGCCCTCAATCTATGAAACTCCTGCAGTTTTTGAAGACGAATGTGCGCTGCGCTAAGGCGAGAGCCACATTTTGAAAACAACCCGCCCTCAATCCGTGAAAGTCTTGCGAATGTTTAAGACGATTGTGCGCGGCGCTGAGGCGAGAGCCACACTTTGAAAACCACCCGCCCTCAATCCGTGAAGCTCTTGCAATTTTTGTAAGACGAAGGTGCGTGGCGCTAGGGCGAGAGCCACATTTTGAAAACAACCCGCCCTCAATCTATAAAATTCTTGCAGTTTTTGAAGACGAATGTGCGCGGCGCTAAGGCGAGAGCCACATTTTGAATGCGACCCGCCCTCCATCTGTGAAGCCATTGTCAGTTTGTCAGGATCCTTACGGGGGGGTGCCAGAACGCATTTTGGGCACGTGGCCAGGGTTCTTGGAGGGGCCTCCGGACCAGAGGTTCCCGGAGGGGCTTCCAGGGACGTCAGATAACCTGTTCCCGGAGGGGCTTCCAGGGACATGATTCCCCCATTGCTCCTACCCCCGCATACATGGTGAGGAAGTCTCAGGCGAAACGCCCGGCCCGCCCTAAAAACTGGTCTCGGGGTGCGACAGGGAGGAGTTATCGATGATGAGAGGGAATGGAGGAAGAGGAGGAGGAGGAGGAGGAGGAGGAGGAGGAGGAGGAGGAGGAGGAGGAGGAGGAGGAGCAGGAGGAGCAGGAGGAGCAGGAGGAGAGGAGAGGAGGAGGAGGAGGAGGGAGGAGGAGGAGGAGGAGGAACAGGAGGAGCAGGAGGAGCAGGAGGATGAGGAGGAGGATGAGGAGGAGGAGGAGGAGGAGGAGGAGGAGCAGGAGGAGGAGGAGCAGGAGGATGTCCTTACCCGCCTCCCCCGTCTCCCCCTCTCTCTCCCCGCCCCCCCGAGGCGCGGCGGGCAGCGGGGCCCAGCGGCCTGATCTGCCCCGCCCCATCGCGGCGCTCGCCGCCCGACGGTCTGGGCTGATCGGCGCGGCGAGCGGGCGGCGCACAAGCGCGCGCCCGACGCGGACCCCCCGGGCGGGCGGATCGCCCCCCTCCTCCTCTTTCTCTTTCTCCGTCTCCGTCTCCGTCTCCGCCTCCTCCTCCTCGTCCTCCTCCCCCTACCTCGTCCTCCTCCCCCTACCTCTTCTATTCCTCCTCAGCCATGTCCAGGTCTCTAGCAAAGATGTGTTGAGTCGCGCACTTGGCAGTGGCGCAGCAGCTCAGAGCCAACTGCGTACGAGAAATGAGCGTTCCCATGGGATCCCATGGTACCACCAGGACGCAAGCAGACATGGGTCTGATCGCAAAAGGGATGTGCTTGTGGGAACTTCATGTGGCGCATCCAGTGTCGTGAATGTGGACAGCGTGCCCCGCAGCGTGAGCTCAAGCAGACCCGCTACCCAGGCAGCTCTTTTCCATGGACTTCAGCTCGTAGACGCTGGGCTGACGGCCCACCGCCAGCAGGAGGTAGTAACGCAGGAGACCGGTCGCCAACCCAGAAGGAGCTCGCGGTCCAGGCCCTCACGGATTTCGCCAAGAGTTGGGGCAGGGACGCCACGGAGGTGCTAGCCTTCGCCCAGTCCCAGCCTGCGGAGGCGGCCCCGCAACCGGTGGGCCTCTCCACCAAGAACTTGCAATATCTCCCCCAACGGCGGATCAAGAAGGAACGCGAGTTGGAGTCAGCTGCGCACAGGAGGCTCAGTCAAGGCTTGACGAAATCAAGCAGTGCATCGAAGACCATGAGGAGGCTTTCGCCAGGATCGAAGCCGCCATCCGTGGAGGCCGGGCCAACACTATACTGCCCGAGGTCATGCAAGAACATCCAGAAGATCCAGCAGCTTTGGTGGCCAGTTTGGAAGCGCTCTCGGCCCTCCTCATCGCAGCCACGACTTCACTGTTCAGGCTGCGGTCATGGCTGGGCAGCTGGCGGAAACTAAGGGCGATGTGCAGGCTAATGCTGCTACGCCTGCTCAGTCTGTTGCTCTTGCTCCAGGCGCTGCAGTTGCTGGCGCTTGGCCCGCTGCTGCGGGGGGTGACGCAAATATGACAGTCGACCAGCCGATCTACTTCCAGTTCGATCCCGACGATGAGCAGCTGCAGAAGGTATTCGCTGAGTCAGGCTGCGAAGTCGGATAGGACAATCTGCGTTTTGAGAGGCTCCTCGAGGGCCTTGTTGCAGCGGCCAAGAAGGCAAAGAGTGGGCGACGCGGCAGCCCCGCCATGGCTGGCCCACCATGGACAGGTTACGGCCGTGGCGGCTGATGGACCCACCCCTGCCCCCGTGCGCGGTCGAAAGCGGGCTGGTGGCAGGGCGGTGGTTGAGGGCGAACTCGTGCTAGTCTCGGCCAATACTTTGCAATGGACTTCGGCACAGGAGCTGGTGGATTGGGTGAAGCCTGACGCGGGCTCCCTTCTGCATTGCTTGTGTTTGCAGGGGCGCAGGATCAATCCGAGGAGGGCTTTGCAGTTCAGTGCTTAGCTGGGCGCGACAGCGTGATATGCAGATGTTTTGCGCTCTTCCCGAACCAGATGGTGATGGACTGCTCACATGGCGGTCAGGCCCCATAACGGCACATCTTTCGCATGCTTCATGGCCCCATGAGGAGACCCCACGAAGGCGATGCCCGCAACGATTGGGTCGTTCGCCAGGATCTATTTTGGTCTTTAAATGCAGTGCTCGTAAAATCTGTCTGTCTGCCAGCACTTGAATTCGCATATCTGTGGCATGTCTCGATCTGTCCTTCTAGTTATACAAGGGAGTTGCGCCATTCCGCCGGTCCCCAGAGGAGGAAATAAGCCTGGGGCCGATCATGTTGAGGCAGGAGTTGCCCTGCAGTTGCGTGGGGTGCGTGATCAGCGGCGTGCCTGTTGGGGAAGTCTTCGCGCTAGCAGTCAGTGTGTGTCCAGAGATCTGTTGCCGTCGACGCGCTCATGTCAGAACGCATGGGCATATTTTTCTTGAGGGTCCTCGGGCTGTGGGAACGCTCCCGCTGTCTTGAACTGGTTCTGGGCTGTCTTGGAGCTGTGTTCTATTTGCGCGGGGGTCCGCCGGCAGGCCTCTGGAGCGGTCTTGAAGTTTGTCTGGGGGACTCCCATGGGCTCCTTCGGGGCCACGTGGGAAATCATTGACAATTGGAGAGGCGGACTCGGGGGGGTGGCGGAGGCCATGCGGGCTCATTTGGAAGCGCGCTTGAAAAAGGCTCGGAGAAGGTGTGAGGCCTAATGGGGCCCGTGGTTCCCGCGTGACCCCTGACACGACCTTTATGAGGAACAACCTCGGAGAGGGTGGGGCGGGCCTGTGGGCCAACACGTGGCAGTTTTGTTGCGGCCTCGCGTGGAAACGCGTCGCGGACAGGGTGGGGGCGGACAGGGGGGGCCACGGGCTCAATGGGGCCGATTCCCGTGTGGCTCCATTTGTAAAAGCGGTGGAACAGAGGGGGCGGGCGGGGGGGGGGCCTCAGGCCGCGAATCGGGCAGTTTTCTGGAGTCAGTTTTTTATCCCCTGGCGATGCGGGGCGCGACGGGGGGGGGGCAGGGGAGGGAGGGGGGGGGGGAGGGAAGGGGGCGGTCACGTTACGATTCGCACCGTCGCCGTCTGGGAGTGCTTGGGAATGGCCAGTTCCCACGCGGCGCCGGCGCGAATGGTGGCGTGACAGGGGGGGGGAGAGGAGGGGGTGCGGGCCTGGTCACGCGCGTTATCGCGAATGCTGCAAAAAGGGCTTCTGTATGGCCCTCTCTGGAGTCGCGTCAAGGGAGGCGGATAAGAGGGGCCGGAGGCCACTTGAGCGATTGGGGCGGACGGATGGGGGGGGGCGGAGGGTCAGATTCACGCCGTTTCCATATGCACCCATATGGAACATCGTCCAACACGGGATGGGGTTGTGGGTGAGTGCAGGGTTTTCTTCGTTTCCATATGGAAGCATATGAGAATCCAGCGCAAAAGGGAGGGGGTCAAACGGAACGGTTTCGGCCTCCACGTTTGGGGGGGTCATTGATTTTTGGGGGAACAGTGACGCGCGTCTTATCAGCCGCGGCAAGCGGGGGGCTAGCAGATTTGGATTATATGTGCAAGTTGTTCGTGCATTGCATGCACCATCTGGCATCGTCGATGTTTCATGTATGTAAACTTTGCTTGCAATCGCACGGCTGAACATGTGTATCTTGATAGACCTGATTGTAGCCTTGCCGGAAAATATGCGCAAGCGGAGTCTGAGGAACAACTTCTGTACACCATGCCGACGGAGTGAACGTCCGTTGGTCCAAAATCTGCTGCCCCTTCTGCGTGTGCCTCCGTGGAGCGCGGCGGGCCCCGCAGACAACGCGTTCGCGTGCCCGTCCCCGCGGGCCCCGAGCTATCTGGCCGTGTCCGCCACCGTGCCTCTGCGCGTGGTGGAATGTCCTCAGGTCCCGTAGGGGCGGCGGCCCTCTGTATGGGGTGTTGAGCGCTGTCAATCTCCTCTCCGGGGCCCGCAGCTCCGAGTTCGGGGCGCGCTCTCGGGTGCTCCTGGGCGCTGCCAGGTGCTGGTCGCGTGAATTTTCCTGAGGCCAGAGGGCCCCGTGCGGGCCGAGATGGCTCCGATGCGGCCCAATGGCGCTCCACCACGGCCCATGGCGGATTTAGGATGGCCCAAGAGGCCCCCAGCACACCCCAAGAGGGCTCAAAGAGGCCCTCCACGAGGGCCTGAGAGGTGCAAGTCGTGAAGGATTTTGGCGTTCTCGCCCCAGAGGCCCCCGTGATCGCCCCCAGAAGGTGCCAGAGGCGCCCAAGAGGGCCCCAAGACGGCTCAAGGAGCACGAACTGTCATGTCGAACCCTCCGCCCAACATGACCCCCGAAACCGGCACCAGGCCCCCGAGAGGCCCCCGAAAACCCAAGAGGCCCTGAAGAGGCCCCAAGAAGCCCGTAATGGGGCTGCAAGCGGCCCACGACAACCCCAAACTGCCTTAAAGAGGCTCCCTAGTGGCTCCCCAAAAGATCCCAAGAGGCATGCGAGAGGCCTCTGACATCCATCCGACCCAAGCGCGATGGCGGGATGGCCAAGCCATTCGATCGTATATAGGTACATCCTTATGTCTGTATATATGTTCCCCAAACTCCCAAACAACGCTTGCACTTCTGGGGTTCTTCTTTGTGAACTGCCTTGCTGTCGGTCTGGCGGCTCCGTGGTCGCCATCGCCGCCCCGTCGCCGCCTCGTCGCCGCCCGTCGGTTTGGCCTGGAGCCAGCCTGGCGGCTCTGTGGACGCCGCCGACGCCCGTCGCCACATATAGTGTACCGCGCAGGCTGCACCTCACAGAGTGCACCATGTATATTCTCCTTTGTAAAAAAAAAGACTTCCCCCCCGGGATTATCCGCCCATTTTTGGTATCGCAATTTACATATGATTCTGCCCCAACTTCCATCCTAAATATGAAGTCGTACCATCCCAGCCGAGCCGGCATCGGCCCCTCCCGCCATCCCCTACAAAAATCAATGCGCGCGTATTCGTTTATCAAAAATCAGCAGTTTTCAGAATTCCTTTAGAACAGAAGAGACGGAGTGCACGCGCGCGTTGTCGCGCGCGCGTGCCGGAATCCTTTCAAAACGTTCGGTTTCGTAAGGATTTCCCGCAAGGATTTCAAAATCGAGTGTCCGACAAATATAATCAACATAGGGTTTCGCAGCGCGGATCTTCAACAAAAAGCTTGCGCGCGCTTTCTTGCGAATTCTTCAGACACCCATTGGTTTTTCAACACTTTCATAGACTGCTACCAAACGGGCTTCGTGCGCGCATGTCAAAATCGTTCGAGCGCCCTTGCGCGCGTGCCGTCGCGAGAACCCTTTGCAACAGACGGGGCGGATTGCGCGCGCGCGGGTCGTCGCGCGCGCATGCCGGAATCCGTTAAAAACCTTCGGCGTCGTAGCAATATCAAAAACGAGTGTCCAACATGCATCAACACATAGTTATTTTCAAACAGTCGTGCGCTCGCGCTCTTGCGAGCTCTTAAGAAAACCGTAGGCTTCTCAACATGTTCATGGAATTCTGCCAAACGGATCTCTGGCGCCGCATGCTGATCATTCGCGCGCCCTTGCGCGCGTGCTGGGGGGGCACGGTCCGTGTCAACAAGTACAATGCGGGCCACTCTCGCGCATGTCGACCTCTTTCCAAAACCTTCATCACCGACGCGAGGACGCGGTCATCGTCGTCGGCGTGATCAGCATCGGCGCCCGCACTGGCCGCGCCGTCGTCATTGCCAACCTCGTCACCAGCATCGCTACTATCATCATCGTGTCTATCGTTGTCGACGTTGCCATGATACCGCGCCCGCCCAAGCCGCCGAGTCGCACTCAAGTGCCCGCTGGGATGTGCCCAGCGGTCAGCGCCACCGCGGCCGCGTCGGTCGCGCCAAACTTGCTGGCCGCTGCGCGCACGTGCTTGGGTCGGCGCCGCCGCAGACATGGACCAGCCAATGTCAAGCACTCAGCGCAATCGCCACCACATTGGTTTTGCAAGTCAAGTTGCGGGTGGGTGGGTGGTATGTTTACGCGAGCAGTGGAGGTGGTCAAGCGCGCTGCAGGGTAGCAAGTAATTACACCACGTAGATGGCACCACATCGAGTGCACCACAAATGGCACCACATACGGTGCACCACATACTGTACCTTATAGATGGCACTACGTTGATATTCCGTTTTAGAATTTTGTAGGATATACCTTTTTCCCCCGGGCTTCATGGTCCCTTTGTCCGTGTTCCAATGTACATATGATTTTCCCATCGTCCATCGTAAATGTGAACTCGTATCATCCCCAGCAGGCCTGTATTCCCTATTCACCCTTTGCAGCAAATGAATGCGCGCGGGCTCGGTTATCAAATGCCACCAGTTCCGATGAGTCCATTGCAAAGACGGGACGAAATGACATCGTGTGCGCAACAAAATATTCCCCAACAGCCTGCGCTCGCTCTTTTGCGAATGTTTAAGAACAGCCATATGTTTTTCAACTTTTTCCAGCACGTGCTACCAAACTGTCCTTTCGCGCGCGCATGTCGAAATCGTCCGGACGTCCTTGCGCGCGGGCTGTCACCATAATCCCATGCGCAGAACGGGACGAAGTGCACACGCGCGTGAGGATTAGCCCAGCGAAAAACCCAACCATATGCAGATACGGGTGCCGCATTGTGGGCTCCTGTTTCGGAGAGCTCTTTATCGGTCCACGAACCGTGTCAGGGGTGTGCCAAATTCGGTGCGGTGGAGCTCCCTGCGGGGCCACGGAACGTGTGAGGGGTGTGCTCAAACTGGGCGGGGGGCGCATGCGAACCCTGCCGCTGGGGTTTTCGGTGGAGCTCCCTATGGGGCCGCGGAGCATGTGATGGGTGTCACCGACATGGGCGAGGGGACGCATGCGAACCCTGCCAGTGGGGCCGTCGGTGGAGCTCCCTATTGGGCCACGAGCCGTGTGAGGTGTGCGCCGAAATAGGCTGTGGAAGTGCATGCGAACGCTGTCACTGGGGCCTGCGGTGGACCTCCCTATGAGGCCACGAACCGTGTGAGGGGTGTGCCGAAATGAGGTTGGCACTGCTTGCGAACCCTGGTACTGAGGCTTTTGGTGGAACTCCATATGTTGCCACGAACCGTGTGAGGGGTGCGCCGAGATGAGGGTGGAATTGCATGCGAACCCTGTCACTGGGGCGTTCGGTGGAGCTCCCGATGGGGCCACGAAACGTATGAGGGGTGCGCTGGTATTGGGGTGGAA